TCTTTGGTACAATTGAACAACCACCCCTAGCGACGGGCCTGGACAATACACAAAGCTTGCGTTATTCTAACAACCAACAAATAATCACATTTAAAAAACTAATCTAGCAAAGTATCAACCGATACACATCAGAAAGGCCTGTTGATTTGTCTGATATGCTATTCCTCGCCAGGATCTCAGGAAGCTCCATGAAGGACGCAGAAAGGCTTCCCGCCATGTGCATAGAACTGGTTCCCTTCCAGAGGTTTGTGGCAGTTCTATTCAAAGTCAAAGCATCAATAAATGAACCAAATAAACACACAGTTTGAACGAGAAGTAAATTAAAATAAACAATTTAGTCAGTCAATAGATCTCCTTCCTTTACGCCGGCTGACACACCATTTTGAAGAAAACRCGTAGTTATAAAGCACGCGGGGGTTGGCAGGACACGAGAGAAGTGTTAGGAGAAGCACGACGCGTAGTGGTTATAATTCTCAACATTGTGTTCTTAGGATCCTCAAGTACTTTATAGAGTGCATACAATATATCCTTGAAAAACTTTGTAAAAACATAAAGTAGACCTCAGTAGACCGTAAACCTACAAAACGTTGCACTAATTTGTACGATCTTGTTAGTTAACTTTTTTAAGGATTTATGGTATGTACTATAACTGCACACAACACTGCATGGAATTTTTTTTACCTTTTTCATAATAAGATACAAATTACAATTGCCGTTAATATATTATGTAAGTTTCCCTGMTAGCAGGGCCTATTTTCCTTTTGTTTTGGTGGAGTGAGAAAAATAGACTTTGCCGATGTAGGACGTTATACTTGTCGCGCCTGCGTGGCGTAACTTGTCATGATTTAGACATTTAGACATGATTTAGTAAAGCAACACTGTCATGATTTTGACAGCCGCTCTCATCAAACAACATTTGGCGCCATGGTGCTTTACTTTTGGTCATGTTACACAACATTTACCCGGATAAAAACCGGTTTTAAAACTGGTTTCGTTCGTCCACAATCGTGGGCGGCGGTGTATCAAAGGCAACGCTCTAAATCGGGAGAGTCTCCCTCCCCCCCGCCTGAAAGAAGGGAGAGAAAGAGAAGAGACTCTGCTAGCAGGGAGTATGTAAGTTAGAGCGCTGAAAAAATCTTGTGATCACTAATCACCACCGCAAAGAATAGTTAATTAACAAAATTGTATTAATGAGTGCAAAGTTTTGTAGGTCTACGGTCTACTGAAATTTCCTAAGGCATTCGACACCAAGCAATCGAAAACCAACTTTCATAACAGATATTTTATAATTTTCTTCAATGCTATTACTTACAGAGCACTTGAAGCAATGTGCGTGCCAAGAGTCTCCAATAGCTTCTACCCAGCGGTCACCYCCTCCAATGGCTGTCTTACATCCAGCACACTTGATGCAGAACATGTCTTTGTAGCATGGTTCGCAGTAAGGCATTCCACGATCAACGTTGAAGCCCTCGCTGCCGATTTGTTTGCCACAACTATTACACGTGAAGTGGTCAGGATGATAAGTCTTACCAATAGCTTGAACACATGGCTGAAGAAAAATTGAAGGTTCGGTTCTGTTAAGTAGTACTAAAAAGCTGTTATCAGGTATTTTTAAACTAGTAAAACAGTAAATAATTACTATAGCTGAAAAGAGCAGGTTAAGATCWGTAAAGCTGTGGAGTTTGAAGGAAATATATTCAAAAGTCTCGAAGATATGATTTTYGAAAGTGTGAATTTTGTATGAACCTTTGCTGGAGGCAAGAGTTGTCTCCAACGAATGCTTTCATACAAAATTTCGATTTTTGAAAAATCCTATCTTCGCGATTYCTAAACTTATTTCCCTCAAACTTCACAGTTTAACTGATTTTATTATGCTTTTTCAAGCCGTGGTAGCTATTTTGTGAGTGTAGACCTTTTTCGCTTCGTTGTTTGTTGTGCACACTCTTGAGAGTTGATTCTTTCGTGTGTAAATATTTTAACATGTTCGACATAAAAGAACAATTCTCAAGGGAATGTCACGTGATCTGAAATAGTCAATTTGCATGTGACGTCAAAGCAGCTCAATTTGGAGGACAAAACAAGAAAAAAATTCAATCTCATGAGAATTGGAAATCTATGCTGGTTATGTCCTCCAAATTGAGCTGAAATCCAACGTGCTGCAGGGAGTCTATTGGGATTTTATGATAAAAACTCGTTCATCAGGAAGTGTTTGTCTGCAACAAGTCAAAAGAAAATGTGACGAGGTTTATGGCGCCTTCTGTTTGGATGTCTGCCTTACACTGACAAGTGTATGCCTTTCTAGTCTACTACGCAACCGCTATTACTGTCSTCACMCAACGCTCACTACTTTGGGGAGTGAGCGGTGCGTGACGACACTAATAGCGGCTGCGTAAGAGATGTCTAATGCCTTTCGTGGTGTGTTGTCTACCTCGTACAATAGCTCAACTGCTGAACTACCAACTTGCTCGATATCTACCAATATACACTAAACTGCAAAAGTACTGTCAGGTTCAAAACAGAGATTATAGAAAACCGAAAGGTATGCTGGGAAATGACGTTATCTCAGATGTAAAACAGTAGGGACTYSTAGATAAATTGGATCAYCGTAAAAAGCTTTGTGAAACTGACGTTTCATGCTTCGCTTTCCATTTCTCACTTTTTGTTTTTTCGATCCTTTTGTTTCYTTTTATTYCTTCATTTGCTTATTTCTCATTGGTCACTTTATTTTCCATCTTAGTATTTATTCACYCCTTCTCATCTTTTCTTTCCACTTACTCCGACGAAGGACTAACGTCCGAAACGTCAGTTTCACAAARGTTTTTACRGTGATCCAATTTATCTACAAGTTCCTACTGTTTTATTCAGAAACACCGACGCAGTCCACGCTAGTTGTACTAGTTATCAACACTCTGTTATCTCAGATGTATTTATTTGAGATACACAGTCGATATGAAACAAGTGTTAAAAGCCTCCTGCCTTTCTGTCAGTGCAACAGTTTATGAACATTACACTATTTGTATCACTRTTGTTTTACAATCTTTGGTTTTCAATGCCAAGGACTTTATGGCCTACCACGCAGCTTACCATACCGTAAGGTGATAATACACCGATCCCGCATTCATTCATAGTTCTACCTCCCTAGTTACTGTTGCTACGASAAGCTAAAATGTGTTTGTGTTTTTGAAATACATAATGGAAAAGATACCGATTGATGAAAATTGTAAATGTTTGTCTTAGAATAATTGCATCTATGATACTCCTGAGAATGACATTTGG